GAGTATACGCGTATGAAGGCGGAAAATATTCTAACTATTTGAAGAGTGCGGATTATATATACTTATCGGAAGGATAATTGATTTTACACTTCACGATACTTTAACTAGAACTTAAATCTATTCTACGTAAGTATGTATATTTTCTTTTTCTTTCTTTTCATATATTGTTTTTTTTTTTTTTTTTATTTCATCTATTGTGGTTTTTTTTTTTTTGTTAACAAAATGAATCGTTATCGAATCTGTTTCATCACGATTGATTGTTTGAATAATGAAAGATATTTGTAAATATATATATATTCTAGATTTGAAATTCTTTACATTATTGTGGCTTTAAGATTTTCAATATTTTTAATTAAAGTTTATTCAATAAGTTTCCAATGATAACGGTTAGGTTCATTTTGTTAGATTTTGTCTATATATATATATATATATATTTAAATATATTTGCTAATGCTGGTTTTACGGTTAGTTCCACTAGTATAACGAAATTTTATATAGAGTAATAACGATATGATAATATTATAACATTTTATTGATATTTTCTATAATTTTCAGGTATTCTGTAGCGACTTTCAATGAGTGTACTACACATATGCTATCAGCGAGGGACAGATATATATATATAGACATTATTATATAACAATAGTAGGTAAAGATTATGATATAGATATAGTTTTGGAATTTTAATATGCGATATAGTGTAATATAAAGATTTTGAAAATTTTTCATTGCGGGACGTAACAATATCGACATCATCAAAATCAAAGGTGTGATTAAGCGCTCTATGTTCTGCAATGACGGACGTAAAATTCCTTCGATGTTCCTTGATTCTCGTCCTTAACAAGCGACCTGTTTGTCCTACGTAAGAGGCGTCGCAATCTGTGCAATTGATTTTATATACAATATTACTACGCGAATCATTCAGTAAACAGCCGACTTTAATAAATTTGCGCAAATTATTTATTCCGGTGTAAGAAAGCCTGACATCGAGATCTCTGACGCAGTATCGAAAACGTTCTGATATGTTCTTCACATATGGAACGTTAAAATATGTGATCTTATTACCACCTCTCTCATCATCAATCACAATCTCAACATCATTCAAACCGTTGTCGTGTTTGTTATTAAATCTATGAAATAGAATATTCAGTCGATCAACAATTGTGTGAAAAATAAGAGAGAGCGGATATCCGTTGTTAAGAAGGATGTTAACAACAAATTCGAGATTGTCTTGATGAAATTTAGGATGAGAAAGCCAGAAAACTTTATTAAAACTATTAGCCCAATGATCGTGCCCTTCTTCTGGCAAAGGGGATGTCGCGACTCGAAGTGGAGGTACCTTCCCGAAAAAGTTGGTTTATGAAACCAATTGAATTCAATATGTCCATTGTATAAAATAATAGTGATGTCAAGAAAATTCAAACGGTTGTCGACACCCTCCTCAACAGTGAATTGCAATCTTGTATGGAACGAGTTAAAAATGTTCAGGACAACATTGAGCATTGAGGAGGGAGCCGCCAACACGATGTCGTCAACATATCTAAAATAAAAAGGAAGATCCATAGGTAGAGCCGCGATAGCCCTTGACTCTAAATCTTGAAGCGTGATCTCAGCGATAATCGGGGAAAGGGGAGAGCCCATGGGCGTGCCAAATGTTTGTTGATAACAAACATCATTAAACATAAAAAAAGTGGAATTTAAAATAAAGCGAACTGCCATTACAAATTCATCGCGAGGTATCCGGCAATTGATTCCTATATGGTCCCATCTAAAACAACCAAACTATTAATCGCCATATCCAAAGGTATATTGGTGAATAGTGAGACAACATCCAACGAAATCAATTTTACATCACCATCAATACGTTTGCCGTTAAGTCTCTCGACTACTTGCACGCTGTTAATAATCTGGCTATCAGGTCTCGGGATAGATTTATAAATGACGTCATGTAAAAATTTAGCGAGACCATAAAGCGGCGTGTTTTTCGATGAGACTATTATGCGTAACGGATTGTTCTTCTTATGAATTTTCGGCAGCCCATAAGCTCTCGGTAAAACGCCGTCTGTACAATTTAACGATCTGTACTTCGAAACAGAGATGTAATCACGAGCTCTCCACCTCGCAAGCTTTTTAGGAAAAAGACATTTCTAAAATGATTTATATTAAGCGCCAAAAGAATGCGTTGAATCTCCAAAGCGATACTATAAAATTAAATACTTCGTGCCTATCGATAGTTGAAAACATGCCCAAGATTTAACGGGTTGTTTTTCGGTTTGACTGGCTTTGTTCTCTTGTTATTGCTGACCACAATATGACACTATTACCGTTGCCGTTCGAATTATCGGCCTATTCGATTTTGAGCTTGTCGATTGTTTCATTTCGTTTCTGCTGGTCTGTCTCTTGTCCGAGTGAGTGAGTTGCCTTTAATTAGTGTTAATGAATTTCTCTTTTTTAAGATTTGTGAATAGTTTTGGTTTTATTTTGTTAGTGCATCGCTCTTCGCGCTTTGTACCGCTGAGAGGGCTTTTTGCATTGTGTTTTCTCGGATGGACCAGCCTTGACGAAGTCGCGTTGCTCTTATAGATCATGCATACATGTGACTATGCTTTTTTCCCTCTTTTGCATTTATTGATATTGTGCTTTTATTTTTTTCTCAGTTGATTTATTTATCTTTTCTATGTGTTTATTAGAATCACTGAAGAAGGCTCGAATTGTGTCCGAAACGTTTGGAATAAAGCGAAAGAATCGTTAAAATTGATTTGCTGTTTTGGAAATTATTTTATCCACGCCCTACAATTGCGTTGGCTCTTTACTGCCTTTTACTATTTATTATTGATTTGTTAATTTAGAGGAGCCTTTAATTTCGTTTATTTTAACTTAAGAAATTGACCATTCACAATCGAATATTCTCCTAATACTAGACCGTGATTGGTAAATATCTTAAAATTTACACCTTAAAATCTTATTATAGACGCTACATTAAGCGTCGTCTACAATGAAATTTTAAGGAAATTTTAGGCGTAAGATTTAAGAAATTGACCAATTACAGTCAAGTGTAAGGAGAATATTCGATTGTGATTGGTCAATTTCTTAAGTCTTACTCCTTAAGTCTCCTTAAAATCTCAGGCGCTTCAAGAGTCGTCTACAATGGCCGTAGCATAAGGTTGTAAGGCGTAAGACTCAAGAAACTGACCAATCACAGTCAAGTATGGCCGTGTTCCGAAATTGCTGCCAGTTTATTGCCAACACTGAAAATATATAATATACGTAACGTGTACTATAGAATTTGTAGTACTGGTAACAATTTCGGAACACGGCTAATGAAGAGAATGCTCGGCTGTGATTGGTCAATTTCTTAAGGCTTAAATTAGGGCTTAAATTATCTGTTGTAAATCGGGATTAAAGGGTCGTCCACAATGGCCGTAGCATGAGGTTGTATGGCGTAAAACTCAAGAAATTGACCAAGTTTTTTTAATTAAAATTTTTTTTACTTTCTTGTTTTCTTCCTTATACTTCTATTTATCTTGTACAAATTTTTATTCTTAATTGGCGCAATTTTTTTATATCACTATTTTTGTAGACAATATGACAGTTGAATACAATTAGTGCATGAACTTGGCGCCCTTTTTTTACCTTTTTTTAAAAAGGTAAGTTTTTGGGGATTATATCACTTCTTTTTTTAGTCTAATTTACTAAGAGATATTATATTTAAAAAAGTATGTATATACATATATATGTATATGTTCTTTTAATATATAAGCAAATTATATAAAAATGTATATAGAATAAGTATATACAATAAACATTATATATATATATATATATATATATATATATATATATAATTAATATATTATATATATTTATATTTAGCTTATAAAATAGATATATTTATTTATTTACCTTGCTCTAATTATCATACCATACTGGCTCTTGCCAATTTTTAATTAATAATTTAATTATTAATTATTTATACCTTGCATTTTACCACTATTCAAAATGCGGTTAATGATACATATCACTAATGACACATATGACACATGTCATTAATATTGATCGAAAAGCGTCGCTAGCGCAATCGCTCTATCGATTAAGGCTAGTAAGAATTCGATCCGTTCAGCCGTTATTGAAATCCGATAATCTGAGTTACTCTCAACTGTTTGACTCGCGTATAGATACACGGAGTGCCGCGCAATGCTTCGCATAAACTTGGCGCGAGACACTACCGTGTCTCTTGATTTATTAGTTAGTTACTTGCAGTGAATATAGTAAGGTGATTGTAGTGAAAATGATGAGAAAAAGAGATATTGGAAGAAAATACGTAAGTGGCGCAGAGAAGGAGAGAAAGCGCAAAGCTCAAGAGGAATTTATTAATAGCCAAAAAGGCTCCATGAATAAATTTTTAAAAAGCACTATCAATACAGAAAAAAACAGGCCTACTCAAGAAATACCTGGTACAAATTCGCAAGATGATGAACTTGTGGAATATACAGATAACAATAATGTAAGTGTTATTACCCTAAAAACAAAATACTCCTGACCTGAGTCGGTTTTTAATTTAAGCTTAAGTAATTACAAAATATTTATATTTAAAAAGAATTGTTTTTGCAGGATAATGGAAAAGAAACAAAAAAATTAACTGAAAACATAGATGAATATAAAAAACTTGAGGACATAGACACATGGCCAGTAAATCTCGAGGTAACTGAAAAAAATATTTTAATTGAAAAAGGACCCCGTAAAATTTGTTCAAATAACTATCCGAAAGATGAAAAGAATAGATGCTTTTCGGAAGTATATTACACAAGGAAAATGAGCAATGGCGAACAAATTGATAGACATTGGCTAGTATATTCAAAAGAAAAAAATGCTATCTTTTGTTTTCCTTCAAATTGTTTCGGAGTGGGTCAGGCCAGTTGGAGACACATGGATTTAATGATTGGCAGCATGCATCAGAGAGAATTAAACAACACGAAGTATCTAAAGTACACTTCAAAGCTATGAACACATGGAATGAAGCTCGTTTAGCTCGTATTAGTGCTGCAAACTGTTCTAATATTTCTCATATGTCTGAAAAACTTTATATTGAAGAAAAACAGAAATGGAGAAATATTTTGGAAAGAGTAATAGCCATTATTCAATATCTAGCCGAACATAATATGGCATTGAGAGGTTCATCCGATTTACTGAATACTCCAAATAATGGAAATTTTTTAGGCCTCGTAGAACTTATGGCTCGGTATGATTCTGTTCTAATGGAACATGTAAATCATGCTAAAGAATCAAGAAATGTTGTTACCTATTTAAGCAAAATATACAAAACGAACTTATATCTCTGATGGGTAATAAAATCAGAAATACTGTGATCGGTCGAATAAAAGCTGTCAAGTATTTTTCTGTTCTTTTGGATTGTACTCCAGATACTTCTCATCAGGAGCAACTTTCTTGCATCATACGATATGTTCATATACACAACGGTGAAGTACAAATATGTGAAAGTTTTACCGGGTTTTTGGTGGTCAAAGACACTAGCGGATTAGGATTGGCAACAACTCTAAAACAACATCTGAATGATTGTGGACTTGATTTTACAAACTGCAGAGGACAAGGATATGATAATGGAGCAAACATGAAGGGATACAAAGCTGGTGTCCAAGCCCAACTTTTACGAGAAAACCCAAAAGCTTTTTTTACACCGTGTGGCTGTCATAATTTAAATCTCGTATTGGCAGATATTGCTAGCGTTTCTCCCAAGGCTGTTACATTTTTTGGTGTTATTCAACGATTTTACACATTCTTATCAGCTTCTAACTATAGATATGATATAACTAAGAAATATTTAAAGCTTACACCAAAAACGCTATCTGATACTCGATGGGAATGCCGCGTAGAAAGTGTAAAAGCTGTACGGTTCCAAATTAAAGAGTTTGTACAAATATTTGAAGAAATTTTAACCGAACCTAAAGATCCAAAAGCTGCTAGCGAAGCTACTTCTTTATTGAAAGAAATTCAATCTTTTCCATTCATATTATCCACTGTTATATGGTATGAATTACTCGTAAAAGTCAATAGAGTAAGTAAAATGCTTCAGCAAAGGGACGTGCAAATGGATGTGGCCATATCACTCCTTGATAATCTGCTAAAAGAGTTATTAACTTTTAGAGAAGATGGCTATCAAGAGTGTGTGAAAACCACAAAAATTATTGCAGAGCAAAATAACGTTATTCCTCATTTCCCTCAAAAACGGGTTGCTAGATCAAAACGACCGTTTGATTATGAAAGCGTCGATGATCCAATAAGAAATGAAGAAGAACAATTCCGCATAGAATATTTTCTCCTCGTTACCGACCAAGCCATTGCATCATTTAAGGAACGTTTTAAGCTGTACGAAGATCTCAGGAATAACTTTGGATTTCTCTACGATTTTAGAAAAATAAAAACAATATCTAAAAAAGACTTGATGAAAAACTGCATGGACTTCCATAATATTTTACAGGATGGACAGAATTCTGATGTAGATGGAGTAGATCTTCTTGAAGAATTGTTATCTTTTGTTACGTCCCGCAATAAAAAATTTTCAAAATCTTTATATTATACTATATCGCATATTAAAATTCCAAAACTATATCTATATCATAATCTTTACCTACTATTGTTATATAATAATGTCTATATATATATATCTGTCCCTCGCTGATAGCATATGTGTAGTACACTCATCGAAAGTCGCTACAGAATACCTGAAAATTATAGAAAATATCAATAAAATGTTATAATATTATCATATCGTTATTACTCTATATAAAATTTCGTTATACTAGTGGAACTAACCGTAAAACCAGGAATAGCAAATATATTTAAATATATATATATATATATATATAGACAAAATCTAACAAAATGAACCTAACCGTTATCATCGGAAACTTATTGAATAAACTTTAATTAACTAAATTGAAAATCATAAAGCTATAATAATGTAAAGAATTTCAAATTTACAAATATCTCTCATTATTCAAACAATCAATCGTAATGAAACAGATTCGATAACGATTCATTTTGTTAACAAAAAAACACAATAGATGAAATAACAAAAAAAAAACAATATATGAAAGAAAAGAAAAAGAAAATATATATACTCACGTAGAATAGATTTAAGTTCTAGTTAAAGTATCGTAAAGTGTAAGATCAATTATCCTTCCGATAAGTATATATGGAGCTTAATCCACACTCTTCAAATAATTAGAATATTTTCCGCCTCATACGCGTATACTCGTACATAGATCCCCAATTTTAAGAATCTGTAAAGGAAACCAATCGATATAAGCCAAATCTAATAATCCCATATTTTCCAGTAGAGACAAGAAACACTCTTATAAAGTAAGAATCAAAACCCTCAACGATTAACATTAATGGAATTGCTCCACAAGCCCCTTTTAAATAATTATTAACAATATAACCTTAAGAAAAGGAGACGCAAGGACTTGATTTACAAACAAAAATGCTTAATACAAATAATTAATAAAATAAACTCTGCACAAAAACTAAATAAAATCGTCTTTACAATAGTGACATATATATATATTCATATAAAGCCACTCAGTAAAAATACGTACTCATTACATTACGAACAAATAACCGAGAACAAACGTACAATACGTTCAAAAGAAAAATTATAACTCTTATACATGACACTTCTAATAATAAACTCTAATACCATGACCAACAGATTTGTTGAAATAAGATTACATTTTTAAACAAGCATAAATACCGCCTCTTATATATACATATATATCTGAAATTTTGTGTCTAACATCTCCATTACTATTTAGGAGAACTATAAGACTCAAATATCACTCAAATTATACTTTACTCAAAATATACATACGCTACCCACATATATATATCTGATCATGATTAATTCTATTACATATATTGAAATAAAATCGCTATATTGATCCTACTAACCTAATTATTAAACAAGACATACACATAGATACACAAAATGGAACAACAAAATGTACCTGATCATCAACAAAATTTATAAATATAATGACTTAAAATTCAAGAGAATAAATTAAATAAAATTAAAATCCGTATCTGTTTCTATTTGATCTGTCGGATAAATAAAAGTCCCCTAATTAGTCTTTATGACATACAGAATTTATTAAATAAATATAGTATGTGTTAACCAGAAATTAATAAGAGTTTTTTTTCAATGAAATAAAATAGATTTATAAACCATTTTGTTGAACCAAAAGAATAAATAAAATATAATAATAATAAGAACGTCTATGCTTATATATATCGTTGGAATCTTGTAGCATAAATCATGGGCTTGAACATCTCTCTCTTTTTTCCACGTAAACTCTCTCTTAAATGTAGATCTTCACCACTAGAAACCTGAAAAAGAACAATCGTAATTAATAAAAGGTCTATATACAATTTCTTATAAAATAATTGAAGAGGATAATGACCCTCCAAGATAATATAATCAAAATATAAAAATTCACAATTTAACGCTGCACATTAATACTAAATTATTTCATGACAAATGTCCAACCAATAACTAAGGACATAAATTTTAATAAATTGTAAATCGGACACATGCATATATTACATAACCCAATAAATACGCGTAAGGCAAATTACTAACAATAATAGTCAATCGCCATGTTATAGAAAATTAAATTCGTATAATTAATATATACATATATGGAATCCCTTGTAATAGCAAAAGAAATAATAAGTTAACATTATAAATATATACAATAATCATACAAAGGGAAATATTTACGCTTACTTATGTAATTTCTTCATGATTATCAAACCATAAATATGAAATGATTTATAAGTTTCCTTTTCCCCAATGAATATATATATATATATTCTCTAATGACGTGTAGGAAAAATATATAATAAAAATATAATTAATACACATACATGTACATATATTAAACACGACGATTTTTGTCCTACACGGATATCGCGAATAAACTAAGACAAAATAATAATCCCTTGAGAAATCAATGCTTTGACCAATGAGAATTAATAAAAGATATTTCCAGCAACAGTATTCCTAAACAAATTGTAATAAATTAGATAAAATCATTTTGATATATGGACAATCGAAATCTCAATGCATTAATCAAAATTTAAAATTATTATATGATTAATGATAATTCAATATTTCATTTATATAAAGCAAAAGTATCGACGTTTATAAAATCTTAGTGTATGCCGTTTATAAAATTAATATCTTAAGACATACAAACCAATATTAAAATTTTGATACATATACGTATACACATTCTTGTTAGTTAATAATATAATTTAAACCTTGTATTCCTTAACTACCTCTAAAAAGAAATTAATACTAACAATCAAGATCTATATAAAATCCCGCGATGTGAGCGATTTTTAATAATCATCCACCTCGACATCGACAAATCCAAATATCATTCAAAGGTAAAGCCGCGGTAGTCCTGCACCTGAAAAAGAAAAATTAATTAGTTAACGAATCTCAAAATTTTAATGAAACATCAATAATAAAATATAATTGGAAGAATCAAATATTAACGATAAAATTTAATAATTAAATTTTAGCGACAGACTTGATAAATTACTTGACAGAATTGATTAAATAATTAATATGCATAGGACATGACAGGCAAAACATATTATATAATCACAAAGAGCAACACATCGCCTTTAAATAATTAAAAATATAATAATTAAATATTTCAAACGTGTTAAAAATATAATAACATAATATTAATAGGTACGTCTTATAGTAGTACCATTAAAAATACTTATATAATCAAAAATCCTTACAACACCGATGTCTTAACTAAAAACATATATATATATATATGTTTATATATATATATATATATATAATTATGCGTTGAAACAACCCCTATAATTTTCGACGTAGAAATGTTGATCCATCAACCCTCTTCTTCCCCGTATATAAATACATGTACGCTCCCATTCGGTAACCTGTAAAAGAAATAAAACAATTAATACAAAATAAAGCCAATACTTGGCGTAAACTTTGTTAGGATAATTCATTAAACGAATAAAGATTAACGATAAAAATCTGACGACCTTCTAGTAGCTTCCCCGGTGATTATTCTAGCAGTAAAATTTTGAAGGCAACCCCATGAACAAAAATTTAAAATGTTTGTAACTTCGATATCTTTTACAATAGAGATATACTAAGGGCATAATTGTGATCCCATTACCAAGTAGATCAACGTACTAATCGATTAATTAATCAAAATAAGTACACGTCCTAATATGCTCCCGTATATAGTTCTAAAATAACAGTCCCTACTCACTAGAAGTATAAATATGATGCTAACAATCAAATTTACCAACCAAAAGTGTTGTAACTTCGAGATCTTTTACAATAGAATTATAAAAATAATATAATCATGATACCATGACCAAGTAGATCACCACACTAGTCGACTAATTCATCAAAAAAATGACGTCCAAATTTGGGTGAAAATGCTCTCATATACATCTCTGGGATAATAATTCCAACATATTGGGTATATAGATGTAACCCCTCACGACGATAATATTTTATTTTCCATTGACCATCGATATACTGTTCCCAGTATAACCTATAAATCATAAAACCAAATAAATAATAGCTATGCACTAAATAATATCGCGATACTAATAATCGAAATACAAAACAAAATCGTATAAATATCAAACGAACTCTCCCTCTAAATAATATCATTAAAATCAAAATTACTAGTATCCGACTTAATATCGTCACAAGGATAACATAACAAATACAAGAATAATAAATGTTAAAATATTTTATAATAATATAATTTAAGTGCCATTGAATAATTACAAGATATATATATATTAATCCCCAACTAACAATGAATATTTAATAAATATCCTATGAAACTTGTAAAGACAAAATTATAAATAAAAATGTAAGATAATAACCAAAATTTAACAATTGATAAAACTAATAAATTATATGGTACTAATAATTCTCTATGATTAAAATTGAAATTGCTTCAATGCAAATAATAATAATAACAATAATGAATTTGCATAAATTTTAATAAGACTTACCCTTAGAAATAATAATATATCCTTGACCATCAACATTTTAATTCAGCACTGCTTGTTTTTCTTGCTAAACCTGTTGACACCTAAAAACAAATAAAAATGAATATATATTCTTAGACCATAAATTAATAAAATATTAATGATTAAAAAATTTCAGAAACAAAATTTTGGTAGTAAAATCTAGCTTCAAATTCTACAAAATAATTCTAACAATTATACACATGAATATATATATATATATATATATATATGTATATATATATATGCATCCACTCTTATAACCAATAATAATAATGACCCCCCTCCTGGATGCCTGAAAAATTAATGTAAAATAATATTTGGTCATAAGAATAATAATTTCTAACACGAGGCTGTCAATATTTTATAAAAATTTGCAAAGTATTAAGTATAACAAAATGGATAGCATCTATATGCTTAAGGCATATACACATGAGCCAATGAAAAGAAAGAAAAACCAACTAGCATAAATGAACCAAAATAACATAAAATTTAAATTAAAATAATTTAAAAATCAGAATAAGGCCAATGAACACCATCAAAAATCAACCATGAACATTTACGATCACACTCTTCTATATATGAATGCATGTACCAAGCCTTATAAAATATTAACACTTCATATAAAAAGTTTTCAACTATAATAATCCCCCTTTTTCAAGTACTTTAATGACAAAATTTCATAATACCAAACCTTATTAAGTATAATTATGTCAGAATATTACTTACTAGTAAGTCTTCATATGACGAAAATAAATGGACACCCTACATTCGTGTTCCTACTCACCGGGTACCCCCTGGCAAAAGTATCACCTGAATTAATAAAATAATAATATTAAAGATGGACATCTATAGCTACTATGAATATAAAATGTATATACACAATTGTAAAATGCACGAACATTCACATATGAGCACTCTTATACGTATATATATATATACGTGCATATGAACATATGCAAATTTAATAATGTAAGACTAAAATCTTCCGAGAAATGAATAAGGCCCAGCTGCATAACGTGTGAAATAACACTCAAAAATTAGAATCTAAATTTAAAACTTTATTAAATAAAAATAAAAAAAAAAAATTTCAACAATGAATATAATGACAGCAACTTCTTATCATGCATAATATACATATATCATTAAGTCAAAGGAAATAAAACGTGAAAACACGAGAGAAATAGAGAAATAATACGTGTACTTACGAATAATATTGCACAAAGAATATTATGCGTATAACTCTACGAGTCGAACAAGCGTGCAAGGCCAAGTCCAGCACG